AAATGGAAAAAATGGAAATAAAGTCTTTGTAAATAGGGAAGGGTGGAGGGCGTGAAGGAAGGGCTAGGAATGGGGAAAAAATAAGAACCAAGATGCATTAGGTAAAGGTACAATTCCCAATGAGAAATGTAATTGTGTTGTATAACTACAATGTACCAATAAAAGAATCTAATAAAAAAATAAAAATTTAAAAAAAAATAAAGTGAGGCTTCCCCCACAGGTCACAGTTTCTAATAACACTATCATATACTCCCTCCTCCTGAGGGAAGCATTAGTAAATCTATTTTTAAAAGGTGTTTTCTCTTGGACTGAGGGTTTTTCCCTCCTACAAAAAGCAATATATTTACAAATCCTCCAAAACAGGCTTAGTGATAATAACTTACTGGCCTTTTTGAAACACACACAAGATAACATCACTTCTCTGCCTAAAACTCTCCTGTCACTCTTTAGATCATGGGTGGGCCTTTGTACATGCTGTTCCCGCCATATGGAAAGCTCTCAACAACACCCTCCTTTATTCTTCCTTACCTGGAACTCAGTTCAATCATTGCCTCTTCAGGGAAGTGGCCCCTGACTTCCTTGACTAAGTCCTTTATTAAAACTCTGAGGTGCAAGGTAAAGTTTATTGGTCTGGGACTGTGGTCACCACAAATAGCCTATGCATTCTATTGTCACTCTCTCGGCCATGCTGGCTCCCCACTGTGTGCATAACACAGGGCTTCCACCTTCATACATCTTTCAGTCCCCTGGGATAAATAGATCATTATCAAATATGAGAATAAGCACACTTGCCCTCCTCTCACAGAGCATAGAAAGTTAAATAAATGATTAGAGTTAGTGTAGGGGTCAGCCTTGAGAGGGGAAGGGCAAGTGGCAATGGCTCAAGTTCCAATAAGGTGTAATCACACTTTTGCTCAAACAATTCTTTTAACACTTTTCCAGTCTAAGAAGCAGGAGGAGAAAGGGCCATGGGCAGACATGCCAGGCTGGCTGTGCCAGCTTGAAGGATAGCTACCTTCAGCATGGGAAGAGGAGAAAAGGGTCTGTCTTCTTCCTCTCCCTCCATCCTAAGAGTCTTCCCACCCTCTTGGAGTAGTCTACCTACTTGAAAGCCAACATGTCTTGATTTTTGCTTCTCTAAATAAACTTTCCTTTTCTAAGAGTGCATCCTCTTTCCCATTATGTATACCAGTAATATAGCCTACCACTTTCATTTAGTTTTCACAATAATTACACACTGTGTTTCCTAGCATTCCCATTTTACAGACAAGAGAATAGTCACTTATACAATCAGCTAGTTTCCAGCGGAATTGGGATCTCAAAACCAGATTCCCTGGGAATTTCAGATTCCCAGTCTAGCATTTTCCCCCATAACAAAGCTCCTGGGCTGAGCCAGGCCTTTTTCAAAGCCCCAGGAAGCTAAAGTTGGTTGCCTCCTACTGGCCAAGAGTTCCTTCCAGGCTTCTGGTGCTACTGCCAAAGAAGGGAGGGTGTGAGAAGTGAGCAGGGTGGATCCTACTCAGAGGTGGTCTGTGCTTCTATTGCCCTCCTGGACCTGAAAGGAGGGAACGGATCATGTGCAGGGGGTGGGCGGATTATGAAAATCAATAATTCATGACAGTTGATCAGTGTCAGAAAAGTATTCACCCACATTAGTCCCCTGAAAGTCACATTCTCCATGTGTTCACGTTTGTCTTTCACCAGTGGCACCAACCAGGTGGACTCAGTAAGAAATATCAAGCCTTTAGCAGAATGCTGTAGAGAGTTTCATTTAACTTCATTTTTCCAGGCAGGGCTGGCTCAGAAGCTAGTTTTTCTTACTAGGTTGTTTGTACAATGAAAAGCAAATTCCCAGAGGTTCCTGAGATTGCCGAGATCCTGTGCAAGATGACTGCTCCCTCCCACCTGCCCACCCACTCACTAATAAGACATAATGCTGTCCTATTTTTGGTAACAATTAAAGGGCCTCCCGGTGAAAGCAGAAAGCTGTTTATTTTCTGTTACATCACTTCACTTTGCCTTCGAAGGCTGGTCTGTGCTCAGTGTTTTCTGGTGATGCAAGTCAGCTCTCTTCCTCCAGCAGTTGGATCGCTCCCATCTCACAGCACCTCACAGGTCTCTTCCCCGGAGCAGTGCACTGCTGGAGCGAGGAGCTGCTCACGAATCAGCTGCAGGTCCCTGTTTTGAAAAGCAGAGATACAGAGGCAGAGGAAAAGGGTGGACTTCTATGTGACCTGTTCTTAGAGAAGACAATCACCATCCGAATTCCAGAAGCCCTGTTCATGTGTGGGGATATTTTTTCGTCTACATGGAATCAGAAAGAAGCAAAAGGATGGGAAATGCCTGCATCCCCCTGAAAAGAATTGCTTATTGCCTATGTCTCTTATCTGCGCTTTTGCTGACTGAGGGGAAGAAACCAACGAAGCCAAAATGCCCTGCCGTGTGTACTTGTACCAAAGATAATGCTTTATGTGAGAATGCCAGATCCATTCCACGCACCGTTCCTCCTGATGTTATCTCATTGTAAGGCCCGTAAGCATTTTGATATCTAATTTATGGTTTTAAAATTCCAGTGAGTGTATTTGGGGCTTTGTATGTATTGGTAGAAAGGCATGGAGAGAGAGAGAGAAAAAGACAGATTCCTCTTGCATGCTTGGCCATTTGACAGTGCTAACATTTTGCTGCATTTAGAATTTTGGATTTTTTATTAGCGGCTACTGATGTTTAGATACCCTCCACCCCAAACATTATTATGAGAAACCTGTAGCAGACTCATCTCTCTCACTTCATCTGGGAAAGAGCAGTAATTGTACTTCATCAAATAGTGTCAAAATAGTGACTATTATGCTAAACTGGATTAACATAAGGTTTGTTCTGTTTGTCTCTTTGTGTGTGTCTGTTTGTTTTTTGTATTTTATTTTCTTTCAGATCCTTTGTGAGATCTGGTTTTACTGAAATCTCAGAAGGGAGTTTTTTATTCACACCATCGCTGCAGCTCTTGTGAGAAATATTTATATCATGACTATTTTAACATGGCATATATTTGGATGAGCCTTCTAGTAAAATGAACTCAATTTTAATTTTGATGAATGTGATATTTCTGAAAAGAAAGAGGATATCAGTAAAGTGAGAGGTAGATGGGGCTTGTTTGCAACTTTATGCCAACAGTGCAGGTTGATTCTTGCAATGATAAATTTGCTAACCTCTAATGCTGTCTACTTTAATGGCTATTTATGAAGTTGTTGGAATGTTGCAACAAGGATCCCAATTCTATTCCACTATTTTACTTTCATTTTTAACTTGGAAACTTTGATTATTTTGCTCTGGAGTTTTGCATTTGTCAATACAGAGCCCAGCATAACATATGCGCTCAAGATGTTGTCTCCCAGGGATCTGGGGCAGGCTGCTACTCTGTATGATTTACCATGTGGGGAAGAAAAAAAAATGGTTCTTTCTAGGTAATTCCTTAAAATATCAATTCTCAAGAGTCTGCTTTCTAATCTCATCTAATTTATAACTAGTCTCCTTACAAGGAGGGAAAGAAAATATTAATACAGGATATCACAGAGGATTATTCTTTGCTGTATGTTTTGAGTTAGCCACAAGGGAACCACATATTTAGTCAATGCCCCCAAATTAATATTTAACTAAGAAATCAGATATCTGCATAGGCATAATGTAATATGTATAAATTATTTTGATGTGTAATGTTTGGCCATTGGAGTTCTAGTTCTTAGAAAAGTATCACATAGGGGTCGAAAAGTCTTAAGGTGTTCAGATATCAAAGGAGAGAAAATTGATTGTTGATACACTGAGTTTGGGATATCTTAACTACATGATTTAGGCCCTCAGTCTTCAGGTTTTTTGGGGGCAGCGTTGTCTTACTTGGCCATTTTGGCCATACAAGATTACACATACACAAGCAAACACCCACTGCTTACTAGAACTTAAGACATGTAGTCTTGTGCAAATTACTGAATGTTACTCAGCCTCAGTCTCCTTATCTGTAAAATGGAGGTGAGAGCATATACTTTGAAAGATTTTTGTCAGAGATAAATAAAATTAAAACTCTTGGCGTACTATATGGAAAATGATTACATGTTTTATAAATGATATGGTTTAAAATTTTTACATAAAGCAAAAACATTTTCAATTGATTATTTTGTCTGAGTGAAATCCCAAAACTGGTTTGACTATTTAAATTTACAAACTCGATAAGGTGTTTTGACATTATGTAACAACGTTGGCTAATGTCCTTCCCCTGGCTAATGTCTGAGTGACTAACAATTGAGTGGATTATTCCTAAGGGTTTTATCTGTTTGATTGATAACCAATAGTGTGCTTAGGGGAAGTGTAAGCACATCAAACAAATTCAAAAAAGATAGACCCTTTTTAGTACAGAAAGGGGCAAAGTCTCTAAATCTGGAAACTTTCCATAGGATGAGAATTTTCTGTGCCTGGAGAAATGATAAACTGTGTTTATATTGCTCATTTGTTAAATAAATAAACAGCTGAAAAGCATCTTTTTGATGTTCTAAGGCACCTAACTCCCTCCCATAGTATAGCTAAATAGACCAGTCCATAAAATTCAAAAATCTCAGTCACACAACTATTCATAATCTGACCTTAGATAAACATTAGCTATGACACAGAAAGCCTGGATTGATCAACCTAATCAGTTACCACATCTCCACTTTGTTTTTTTTGGGTGGACCCAACGACAACAAGCACAGATGCTGGACAGTGTTATAGAAATAGTTACCGGCTGCTGCAGGGTAATGTGATTACATGCATTTAGAATTACAGAGGGAAGCCAAGGGACTGGTTTTAAATAGCCTATACTGAGTGTGTGCCATGCCCCTCTGTCCCATGCTCCAAGTTCTTATGGAACATTCCAGCCTTTCTTTCTAAAAGCAGTTCAGGTTTCAGAAATAACAAAAGGGCTAGCAGTCTTGCCTTGTATGTCCTCAGTTGATTCACATTGGCTGTCCTCCACATGGTAAATTTGTGCTATACTGATCTTACACAGAATTCTCAGGGGTCAAAGTTTGTTTCTATTGCTAGGACCCTGTTCCTCGGGACTTTGTCCTCCATCCTTCCTGTCCAATGTTCCCTGCTGCATCATGTCTTCAAGAAAAGGTTAAATAAGTTCATTTTCATTGAGTAGGAAATAAACAATAAAGTTGCTATTATAAGTCATACTATGATCATAATAATTATGGGAATGCATGGGTCACAAACAAAACAGGTCCTTCTGTGGGATAGAGCTGTCCAGTGCCCTGAAAACCTGACATGGGCTGACAACTTGCCATAGGAAAATGAAGACCAAGGAGCCACCAGCCTAGATTCCACAAGCCATTTCTTGGCATGGCAATGAATTTAATGGTTTCCAGTGGCTTTTGTGACCATGAATTACCAAACTGGCTTCATAAATATGAAGAGACCAACTTTAGAATCAATTCTGTTTGATGTTCGAAGGCAGTTGATACCTTACTCTGTTATCAGAAAGGAAAAAAAAAGTCTCATTCCTATCCTTCACTTTAACAATCTTATAATTTTGTTATGGCCTCAAATGTTTTTTCAAATCTTTGTAGACAGCATGATGAGAAGTACTTTGTAAAATGTCAACCTGGAATATCAAGGAAGATAGACACAGTACTTCAAGTTATATGCAGTGTTTGGGAAGATTCTGGTGGGCTATGGCTGGCAGTTTGCATTGGAGGAAAAAAAAACCCTCATACTTTTTAGAGAGGAGAGAAAAAATTTAAAAGATCTGGTAAAAACATATCAGATTAGTTCTACAAAACAATTTTTGAAATATCATTTATGGTCTTTAAAATTTTTTTTAAACATTTCCCAAGGAAATGCATTTTATTCATGTTTTTCACAGGGATGGTTCAAAACATAACCAAAAGAATGATTATGCATTCTAGTTTGCTCTTAGTGATAGAAAGTGATACTTTTAGTGAATGCAATTTAGAGAAATGTGTCTTCACACATTGCAGCCTTGTTCCTTCTCAACTACAGATTGAAATCCCCAGTGATACAGTCTTAGGTCAGAAGTAAGATTCAAATTGAGGGTAAAATGTGGCTACATTGCCATTCACTAATGAACTAAGTTCCTAAAACTCCTAAGGGGATTCTATTTGCAGGAAGTGAATTCCAGAGGTAGTCTTAGCATCATTCTTTTAAAAAGAAAAGAATTTGTGCCAGGGATTTAGTTCAGTAGTGCTGCACCTGCCTGGCAAGTGCAAGGTCCTGAGTTCAATCCCCGGTACTGGGAAAAAAAAATTCAGTATGGCTAGAGAAAACTTTATTTAGTTCAATGAGATTTGATCTTATTTGTTTGGAACACTGAATTTATTTTGGGGGTAGGAAATAGCATTTTTTAATTAATCCACAATTGATGCATAAGTAGATAGTGCATGAGAAATTAAAAACCAAGGATAAGCAAATAATATGAACAAAAGAAATAAGCTTGACCTGAGTAAGGTTTTAACTATTTGATCCTTCAAAATATTACTTGTCCCAGGAAAACATATCCGCAGTCTGTCTTACCTTTTAAATGACTGCTTTTTCTATTCATCTTAAAAATCTAAGAAAAATTTTATAGTCTTCAAGGACCACTAAAGCCAGACTTATCGGCTATGAAGGTATTTAGAGAAATTTTTAGCAGGTTATATATAGATGAGTATGTTTTGGTTTGTATCCAGTGGATGCCCTCACAATGATGGATTGAAAATGAATATTTCAGTCATCTGGGCTATTTTATCTACATTTTGCCCAGTGATTCATAGGACTGATTTTTAATTTCTTAATTAATTCTTGTAATTGGGCAAACTGGCTCTGTACAGCAAATGTTTTTCTCTGTAAGCATGTTTGATTCTTCCAGTTTTTCAGGCAAGAAACCTAACAGTCACCGTCCTTTCTCTCACTGTCCATTTACAACTGGTCAAGTCCCCGCTTAATCAGTATGAGAAGCTGCCTCCTCCTCTCTCCCCCAGGACCACCCCTGTCTGAGGCTGCATTCACAGTTTCCACACCATCAACTTTGCTCTCAGTTCTCTTCCCAGCCATCTCTGTTAGCATTACCTCTCATCACAGCACCCTTGTGCTTGGACACTCTTCCTGGTTTCCTGGGAACAGAGAAGGTCTGAACACTGGAGCTGGTGTTAATAGCATTTGCCCCTTTCCTTTTTGTCCAGGGTATCACTTAGACAACATTGACCTGAAACCTCTTCCCATACACACAAGCTGTAGCTACATCTCATTCTGTGACCTGTTTCCTCAGCTTCTACAGACTTGAGTGATGTCTAGTTTTATTTGAACTACTTGTGTTTGTATCCATTCCATGTTTATCCTGGAGGATTGTCAATGTGAGGATCCAAGGGAAAAGTCTAAGTGTTATAAGCCCAGACATTGCTTCCTGTATATTTGTTAAATCCAATCTATAGTTGCATAGATTTCCTGCTAAAGATTCCTATTTTACTATCCATAGAAAGTCCTGTCATGTCTACAACCTTTATTAATTTGGTATACCTATCTGATTTCATATGGACTGGCAGGTTTGTCTGTAAAGTGAATTGAACTCAGAAAATGCAAAGAGATATTTGCTCACCAAATTGTAACTAAACTTCTTCAGCACACTTTTTCAGAATTTCAAAAGTAAAGCATCTAAGTCCTTCCTGAGATCCTCTGCTTGAGTTTCTTTCCTGGCATCCTGACTTCACCTTTAATCTTGTAGGTTCTTAATTTGACTGTGGAGGCTCACTGGTCCTTGACTCTCCTATGAAAGATAAGAGTTTCCCTTGTCCTGTTTGATAAGACATCCAATGAGAAATGTTCACTAAGATGAAAAACACTCACATGAAGATAATTTCCTTGTTGACTTATCTGTATCTACTTAGTTTAAACAAATGTTCATCACATAGTTGCCCGCAGTAACAAAGGAAAGCAAAGCCTCCTACCTTAGCCTACAAGTTTTGAAGTTCTCCTGGGCT